GAGTTTTGCACAAGGTTTAGGAATTATATTTTTATGTTTTTTGTTCTTGAATGAACCATATTTTCGATACAAAATTTGGCGGAAAAATATTAGAATAAAAATTGTTGCATATATTGTGAAAAATTTGCTGCGCCAAACTTCGTTCCGGCAGTGTATATTCTCAAAAATATTTAAAACTAAAAATTATCAAGATGGTATGCAAGACTGCAAGCCAAAAAAGAGGCCAAGGCGAGAACTAGTTATTTCCCATCAGGCCTCATCGTACGCAGAGATGAATAGTGCATACGAACTAAACGTTTTGCAGTCTCTAAGTAAACCGTATGCGTTAATACGGTCATGAAGCAGACATTCGTGGAAAACAAATCTAAACCAAAAATTTGAATTTGAATATTTTTGTTTTTTTAATTTCTATTTGTAATCAAACAACTGTCAAAATTAATTCCAAGCTCTTTTTCATTTAACAAGTTGAATGGGACCTATTTGAACTTAATATAACAATTAGTCTGTTCGAAAAGCTGATAACTTATTGTAAATTATCACAAATTATCAGCTTTTTGGCGTTCGCGTGCGCAAAAAAACTTGCAACTGACTGTATCAAAGTCATATGTGCAATGTATGAAAATAATGAAATTTGTTTTGATGATTCTTAAGTTTAAAATAACTTATTAGAACTGCAAATGTTTCGGAATAAAGCAAATACTTGTTTACTTATGTTTGCTTAGCAAGTCTATTGCTTTAGACAAACTTTTAATTTATGATCGTTTTCGTGCTTTTGTATATACAGTATTGGTCAATACAATAGCACCTCCAATTCAAAGTGATTTTGTTTGCTACTCATGTACATATGTATATTTATTTATTTTTAGGAATTTTCAATAAAATACAGTTCATGATCTAACTAAACCCAGTACAGTGGAGGTCAAAAATGGGTGAATGGTATTTTGTTTTTAATATTTACAATGTTTTTCAAGCTAACATTTTTAATATTTTTTATAAAAATATGAGTCATGCTTTAACAAAACTATATAAATCACACTTTCAAACTCTATACAGAGCTTAGCTGCTAAAAACTTGCACTTATTTTACTAGAATTTAATAAATTTCTAAAAATTCTGGTTAAAAACCTCGAAATTTAGATAAAAATATGTGGAACTTTCTTATAAAGTTTAAAAGTTGATTTATACAGTTTTTGTTAAAGCATTAACACATTTTGATAAAAATATATTAAAAATTTTTAGCTTTATAAACATTGTAAATATTAAAAATGACAACATTCATCCATTTTTGATCGCCACTGTAAAACCAAGTTTAAAACTTTGTAGAAAACTGCAAAAAAATTCAACATATTTTTACCCAAATTTCAAACTCTTTTCTCAGAAGTGCACAGATTTATAGCCCATTCAATTTTAGTCTAATAATCTGCTAGTTTCAAGTGGCTAAAAACTACCGTTGATTTTTTATAATTTTTTTCATATCGAGAAAGATTGCCTGAAATTCATTCGTTGTGTGAACAGTCAAAAAGGTGTGTGACTCCTCATGCAACTGCTTTCTGATATTTCTAATTTTGACAGGCTTTTCGAAATATATTCCATTGCCACGTCTGACACGCTCTTAAGTGTTATAGCGGCGCCTTTAAGTTATATGAGCCCTGTTTGCGATTATTTAGAAAGACAAAATTTATCGATTTTTTTTTTGCAAATATGTATGTAGGTTATGAAAACAAGTTACAACGTGATATAAAATCATAGAGTTTGAATATGTACCGTTACGGTGAAAAGTCAAAGTGAATTTTATCGTTTGCTCTGTTTACTATGAGTACAGAACTTCACTGTGAATAGTAGTTTTAAAAAAAGTGTCCCGAAATTTACTACAATTGAATACTTAAAAACCAACTTTTTTCCCTCATCAAAATAAAGTACATTCTACCATTACGCAACTGCGCTGCCCAGCCCACCAGCCCAGCGTGGCTCGTCTTGTGGGGTCTTTTTTGAAACTCTTGCTTTCTCAAGGTTTTATAAGAGTTAAAAGCATATCAGTTAGATGAAAAGGACACTTACTACTAAAAGGGTCTATAGCCTTACTATAAGAAAACATTTCAACCGAGTTTGCCTTAACGAAATCGCTGTATGGGTGCACCATTTCGAAATCATTTCAATTCGTCGTTCATCTCGTTGCAAATTGCTTATAAAATTTTAATTTTTCCACTTTGAGTTATCATAATTTTTGAAATTCAGGCTTCTGGATTGAAAGATTTCCTTCAGCAAATTTTTGCAAAAACTAGATTTGAAACACAAGTTTAGTCGAGGAATATAACTAATTTCAAAACTTACCGAAAATCTCCCAGCATCACGATTTTTGCACTGAACCTATTACGGTGAAATTCCGATTAAAAAGTTTGAAATTTTAATGACAATTTTTTGAACTTTGTCGAACTTTTTATAAATCTTGTACAAAGTTTAAAACTTTGTGTTATGGGCTTTTCGTAGAAGCATATATAGCACTATACGTTCTTAAAAAAAAAAATAAATTAAAAGCAATAAATAAAAATAGATGTTAAAAACTTGTAAAAAAATCGCTTTTAATTATCGGCCAAGCACTGTATGTATGTAGGTACATCATTCCTTTAAAAATAATAAAAAAATAACAAAAGCTATTGCTAATGTAGTTGATTTTTTGGAAATTCAACTGGCTTCAACAGGAAGTTGCTGAAAAATCGAGTTGATTTTTGGCAATTTTTTCTCGCCTTTTCTTCCATACAAAGTATTTTCGATTTTTATTTCTTTTTTTTTGTATGGAAAAAGTGCGTAATACCGTCAGAAAATAAATCATCAAAAAATCAACGCGATTTTTTAGGAATCCCAAACTTGCATTTTATTATAATACAATGGGCTAAACAACTCAACTACATATTAAAAAAAAAAATCTGATTAAAAAGTTGAAAATTAGATGCGATTTTGCAGAATTTTTATAATTTTTGTACAATTGTGAAATATGAATTTATACGGGTTTTGTTAAATAATGAGCTACACTTTTATAAAAAAAAAAAATAAAGTATTAAATGAACAAAAGAAAAATATTAAAAATTGTTAAAATTTCCCGACCCTATTAATTTTTCCACGGATTTTTCTTAAATCTGCAGTTAACCATTTGGTGGAAATCGGCATTTATATTCAGTTTTTTTCAAACATTCCTCAAAGAAGTCGCATTACTTTGTTTTTAAATACCTAGATTACACAACATAATAACTATCGTAAGCGCCAATACTTTGATCAATTACCTATTATAATGTTTACAGAAAGTATCGTAAGCGCGATGATACCTTTAAATATTAAGATATGAAAAAAATAAATAGGCCTATCAGAAAGCTAACAGTTAAAAAAAAATATTGTTGTCCATTTATATCCAAATAAAGCATTACACTGTTTGAGGAAGGAGTGAAAAAAACTTTCTACTGTAAAGTTTGCCTTTGGTCGCTTACGATAAAATCGGAAATAGGGCTCTATATGTAATGAAAAAATGCATATGGGATGTAGGGATATCAAACGCATTCCTTTTTTAACCACGCGGAATTATATGAAAACTTTGAGAAAAGTATCTTATTAAAGTTTTAACAGACGGCAGCGTTGATCCGGATTAACTCGGACTTAATCCGGATCAACTGCAATTTATTCCCCAGTTGATCCGGATTAACGCTGCCGTCTGTTTATGCTTTTATTATTCAGGATAAGTAACACTAACTCGGATTACTACAAAGTCATTTTATTATGAAAATAACCATTCCGGTTTTCGGACTATAGAGTTGTCGGCTTATCGATTTTTGACTGAACACAAAAGGGCCGGAATAAAATACAACAAATCACGAAAGTTTCGAAAAGTAGCGAAAATTTCACGAAAAAAAAGACTCGAAACCTTCGAAATATCATAAATAAATCATTTCATTTTTAAAATACAACAAATCACGAAAGTTTCAAAAAGTTGCGAAAATTTCACGAAAAAAAGACTCGAAACCTTCGAAATATCATAAATAATCATTTCATTTTTAAAAATGCCTGAAAAGTAATGATTCCGAAAAGCTTCAAAAAATACCGAAACAAACATTTTTTATCAATACATAAGCAATGAAAGTAAAATATTACTTAAATATGTAAGTAAATACATATTTCCGTCAGGGTAGGAGTATGATGTATTGTGGAACGATTTACCGTATTCCTTGTCAAATTTCTAAAGCGAAAAATTATACTTAAGATGGTACAACGCCGAAACCGGTTCGTCTCCATACCAAATTTGACAAAGGATGACGGGAAATCGTTCACAATACATCGTATAATACATATGTTAAAATTTATAAGTAATAATACATTTTTTTGTTCATAATAATAAATAAAATATTTTAAACCATATGTCATGCTCTGCAAATATAGCATTCTGCTTGTACCTCTCTATTAAAAGTGTCGTAAGTGCCGTTTTCTTGTATGTCATAAACTTTTAAATGGCTAATAATATTTTAGGTCTGAAAAATAAAGAATATTTTTAGTCATTAAAAAGCTTATGACATTCAAAAATACGACACTTCCACGCCCTGTAAATATCCTATTTATTAAATCTTTCACTCTGTCACCGAAGACTTAAATAACTATGCAAAGTAGATAAATAGTAAACACATCCAGTCTTATTATTTGTATTCAATTAAATAGTGAATTAAAGCACTTGGAAAATAATTTGTATTTAAGTGGCTGTATAGTTTCTTTTGGTAAAATTATCAAAACAAAAAAACCAAAAATTTTCCTCAGTAATAATCACACTTTAAATGTTTCGCATTTATCTTGAAAGCGATAACGCTTCCAGCAGCACTTATAAAAATAGTCTATCAACCAGCAGCGAATCGATGTCGCTTATTGCTAATAGCGTTTTTCTACACTTTTTGCCATTTTCGAAAAATTGCATTGCCATTGTATTTATCAAAAATAGTTAACATTTTATTGTTTTCTTCCAATTCATACCTTAGCTGCTTCGCTATCCTGCTGAGTTTGCGCTTGCATTTCTGTAGATTTTGCAACTTCCTGCGATTCGGCAGAGTATACTGAGAAGTTCGGACAATTCGAATCGTCATCATCATTTCCATAATCGTTATTTAGCTGTTGGAATATGGGAGTGCCCCAAGGCATTGGTACACCTGGCGGTGGCGCCGGTGGTGGTGGAACAGTCATAATTGGTCGGATAGATTGCATTGGCGAGTGCATGGACAGTGATGGTGGCGGGCCACTCATCCCCATTGTTTGTGGTGGAGGTCCCGCCATAGGTAGCGGTCCCATAATGGGCGGTGGACCCGACATATGTGGTGGACCTGCCATTGGTGGTGGACCCGACATAGGCGGGGGTCCGGCCATTGGCGGAGGCCCGGACATTTGCGGTGGGCCAGACATTGGCGGAGGGCCAGACATTTGCGGTGGCCCAGACATTGGTGGTGGTCCTGACATACCCATTGGTCCACCAGGCATTAGCGGTGCTGGACCCACGACTGGTTGTCCACCCATTACCGGCGGTGGCAAATCGCCGAAAAGTGGATTCTCATTTGACGCATTCTGCTGTTGAGGTGGCTGATTATGTTGTTGTTGTTGTTGTTGTTGTCTCTCGTCATCGTTACGATTCATGAAGGGCAACGAGTTGCGTTGGTTGTTGTTATTGCGTTGATTGAAGCGCATTGTGAAGGGCGAAAAGTTTGGATTCGGATTGTTGTTGCTGTTGTTAAAATTTTGATTGCTGAAGTTGAAATTGCCGCGACCAGCCAAGCTGTTGTTCGAATTGCCGCCTCCATCACCACCAGTTGAATGTCTGTACTGGCCACCACCGCCTCCACCCCCACCGCGATAATTATTTTGGTTGTTGTTGTAGCGATTGTTATAGTTTCCCCCACCACTACCGCCGCCGCCACCACCGCTGAAGCTCTGATTACCACCACCTCGTGAATAAATCGGCGCCTGCGTAACCCCATCAAGGGGGTTGATGGGTGTGTTAGGCTGTTCAGTTGCGCCGTCAGTTCGCAAGGTCGATGTTTGGCGCGTATTTGAATCGGCATTGACGCTCACATTGCTGCTGTCAGCGCTCTTGGTGCCAGTTGGTAGCTGCAAAGTGCCATCAGAATTAATACGCACATTCTCCATGTGTCTGGCAGCGTTATGCCAGCGGTCTTGCATGTCCATTATGCTTGAAAGCAAATCGCCACCAGCAGGCGCATCCGCTTGCGCTGATAAATCGGGAATCACATTTTGTCTATTATTGCCTTGCAGCCTACCCAAAAGTAAACCTTTGCGTGCTCTTTGTGAGCCAAAATTGGATATACGTATGGATGTTTGCACAGCAGTGCCATGCCCGCTTTCCAGCTGTATTTCATGTTCAATGCCACCGTTATCACTATCCGAAAAGTATTCCAAGTCATTGGCGCCACCGAATAGCGAAAGTCCTGCCGACGCGCCGGACAAGTGCGAAGTGTAGGTGGGATCTTTCTTGACGCCCATTTGCTCTGCCAAACGTTTGCTAGCTGTCATGCGTTCACCGGTGCTGGTACGAAGCGCATTACGCGCTGATGCCCTACGCTTGCGCCGACGCCTTTTCATGATTTTCTTAGTGGTTTTAATGGCAAATTTCTCATCGAAGTTATTCAGATCATACTCGACAACATATGTACGCCTGCGCGTATGCCGGCGGCGACGGCGTCTACCGCGCTTACGGCGGGTGCTGGCTGCTCTGGTGGTGCGCGTGGTTGTTGTCGTAGTGGTGGTGGTTGTGCTACTTCTCGGCCTGCCACGAGCGCGACTTACGCCCGCGCTTGTTGTCGTGGTTGTGGTTGTTTCGATTCGGGCTGCCCTGCTGCGTGTTGTGCGCAAGACGGCTGCGCGTATGCGTTCATTTTGACGAGTGCGCAATATGCGAGGCTGCTGTAGTTCCGTGACGCGGAGAGCTGCTTGCGGTATACCCATGTCGCGTATGTCTTCGTAGAGCAAATTTAAATCTTCGGAAACATTGTCACTTTCAGCTGATGGGTCAAAGCAGTTGTCGCAATACCATGAACCCTCTGGTATCTGAGTCAGGCGTGGTTCTAGACAATCCATATGGTAGCCTTGATTGCACTCGTCACACAACAGCATAACATCTTCGCGATCTGGGCTATTGCAAATTTCACAGTGAGTTATATCATCCTCAGCAGCGCCCCCTTCGTCTTCGAATACTAATTCTTTATTAATTTTATTTGGATCTACGTTAACCTCGCGCACGATTCTACGATTTTCATGATTTTCCCGCACGATAATCCGTTCAAATTCGATACGATCAATTGGACATGTCTGCACATTCTTGGACCAAGCCTCAATGCAGCTGGCGCAGAAAATGTGTGCGCATGTTGCTGGCGAACCGATTTCTTGTTGTCGAAAAGTGAGGAGACAAATCGGACATTTCTCGAGCAATTCATTGCTGCTGCTGTCCGAGTTGAAACCAGCCTCGGTGGCTTCTTTCTGTTTGTTGCTTTCTTTGTCCGCTGCCTCATCATGCGAAATTATTTGCTCATCTTCTGAAGTAATGATTTTCTTTGATGATTTGCTTACGCGCGTTTTTGCCGAACGATCGATCTGTAAAATAAAAGGTATAAAAAGCTATTAAATTACGCTAAGAAATTAATTATTGATAAAAATCAAATAGATCGCTCATTACTGTAATCTTAAGTTCTTGCATAGAAGATATAATATAAACAAATCTTAGGAGAAAGTTGGTAGTAATACCCCGCACCGAATTGGGAGAGTATTGATTATTTATTTAAAAATATACTTTTTAATAATCCTTTTTCGGGTAAATAAAACCTCAGAGAATGAAAGTTATTAAAAAAAAAGTTATTAGAAAATATACAGAATGGCTTAGTTGATAGTTAATCAACCACAGGTTGTGTATACTTCCCTAAACAATTGAATAGGCACATTATTTTTCTTCAATAACCGGAAAAGATCAGGGCTGAAAACAGCTCCAAAAATCGATGCGTTTATTGGTATGTTTTTGCGGTAATAGCATACCAATTCTCAAGAATTTTTGGCGAGTGATGCTGGAGTAACAGTCCTTGGCCAGATATAAATCTGGATTATTCATGTGTATCGCTGTACAGCGGTTCGATTCGTTGCATTTGACAATTTTTTATAAATACTTGTTCTATGTTTAATAAGACATTTCTGAAGTTAAGTTTAACTAGTGATTTAATATTAAATATAGCAAATATTATATACATAGGCTTTGTTATTGAGATCAAATTCAAATATAAATAGTATGTTGTGTAATATTTATGAAAACTTTCGTTAATCACAAAAGTTAAACTGATGCCAGATAAAACTTTGCGGCTTTGTGTGACATTTATTACTTTGCCAGCAAAACGCAAGATGCAAAAGGTATGCCACAATTAACACCAAGGAAACAATTTTGCACTGCGTTTTTACTTGCTGTAGATTTTATATATGTAGGTATTTAGTTTTAAAAAGCAATTTTTAAGCANGATTTAATATTAAATATAGCAAATATTATATACATAGGCTTTGTTATTGAGATCAAATTCAAATATAAATAGTATGTTGTGTAATATTTATGAAAACTTTGTTAATCACAAAAGTTAAACTGATGCCAGATAAAACTTTGCGGCTTTGTGTGACATTTATTACTTTGCCAGCAAAACGCAAGATGCAAAAGGTATGCCACAATTAACACCAAGGAAACAATTTTGCACAGCGTTTTTACTTGCTGTAGATTTTATATATGTATGTAGGTATTTAGTTTTAAAAAGCAATTTTTAAGCAAAAAAAACCGACTGTTGGAGAGTTAAAATGTACTACAGAAATGTTACAACAGGAAATTTTAGCAGGAGGCCACTGTAGCTGAGTGGCTAAAGGTGCGTACTACCAAAGAACGTAGATAACAAGAAGGGACAACTCGTTATAATTGTAGCGAAAGTGCGCAACAGGGGGGTGCCTTCTCTTTTGCCCCAGTGCGTTTTTGATTGGATGAAAAGACAAGGCACGCCCCTATTGCGCACTTTCGCCACAATTGTAACGAGTTGTCCCTTCTTGTTATCTAGGTTCATTGGTACTACCACTCCTTAGGACCTGGCCGATAAACATCTAAACTAGAAAAAGATTTTTCTAACAGCGGCCACCCCTCGGCAGCCAATGGCAAACTTCCGAGTGTATTTCGGCCTCAAAAAAGCTTCCCATAAAACACCAAACACTTAGCAAAAGTGTAAGCGCCAAATATTTATTTATGTATTTGATTAAATTAGATTTTCAAAATAAAGACTTTTTTTTCGAAAATTTACTTTCCTAATGAAGTTTTCCGATTTAATTTTCAAATCTAAATTTTACAAAATGTTAAAGAGACTTGCTTTGAAAATAGTGAAATGAAAACGTAAATATTTTTCTATAATTGAATTTTTTACCAAAAAGAGGAAACTTCTACTCTCTGTAAAAAACGTACGATAAAGTGGTGGATCCTCTCGTTTCCATAACCCTAAGGCTTCCGCAAATCAAGTTTTGCATTGCTGTCGACCAAATTCACAATATAGATAATAATCAATATTAAAAACAACGTCGAAAGAAAATCGATAAATAACCGATGAAAATATCGATAAAATATCGATGACAAATTCAATAGCATAATCGAGAATAAAATTGGTAGCAAAATCGATTAGAAAATCGACAAAAAATATCGATAACAAAATCGAGAAATAATCGATAACCAAATCGATAAAAAAACCGATAAAAATATCCATTATTATATCTATAAGTCCCGAGAATCCCGAAAATCTCTAAAATCCCAAAGTAGTTCCCAGATTGATTGACTTACCTTTATTTTAATCTTCCTCTATCTTCATTTTTACTTTTATCGGTATCCTCATCCTCATCTTTTTCCTTATACTTATCTTTGTTTTTACTTTTATGTTTTTTCATTTTCTTCATCTAGATATTCCCCTTCACCTTTGCCCATATATAAGCAAAGTGCCTTTATCTTTACGCATCTTTGTTTTTGTTTATATTTTTATTTTTACCTTTGCCTTTATCCTTTTCTTTATCTATTTACGTACTCACTTTTACTTTCATTCCTGAATTGGTCTTTTTCTAAGTGTTATTCTTTAACCTTCTATTATCANATTTTTACTTTTATCGGTATCCTCATCCTCATCTTTTTCCTTATACTTATCTTTGTTTTTACTTTTATGTTTTTACATTTTCTTCATCTAGATATTCCCCTTCACCTTTGCCCATATATAAGCAAAGTGCCTTTATCTTTACGCATCTTTGTTTTTGTTTATATTTTCATTTTTACCTTTGCCTTTATCCTTTTCTTTATCTATGTACGTGCTCACTTTTACTTTCATTCCTGAATTGGTCTTTTTCTAAGTGTTATTCTTTAACCTTTTATTAGCTTTTGTTAAATTAATATGATATGTACATTCAAGAAGCACTTGCTTTCGTCCCAACCATTTCCGTTGCATGGCATTGGGCGCGTTCATAAGACATATGTAGCTGTTTAACTCATCTGCTACGAAACTGCTGGCAACTGTTGAACCCAATAAATACATACGTCTTAGAAACGGCTTAATGAATATGCTGCCAAATGAACAGCTGATAAATGTAAACAATAAATAGAGATAGTTGCGCCGATAGTATTTAGAATTAAACGCTGAGCTTGCGCCGTATTGAAAAAATCGTTCAATGTTATAATGAATTAAAAATGTGTAAAATTATGTAGCAAACATCGTAAAAAACTTATAATTAGAAACGTAGTATTATTATAAAATATTTTAGTTATTTTAACACATCAGTAATATAAAATAGAAAATATTTGTTTGAAACTGTCACCTAACAAAGCGGCGTTAAATTTAATACAAGCGGCGTAAGTTTTTTTCGATCAGCTGTTTAGGCTAAGCCCAACACCGTTAAGTTCGGATAGCGTAAAAATTTTCCGCTGGAAAAAATGGCGGAAAGTTGCCAACTGTTAAGCTGAGCGGAATTACTCAACTGTGCGTTTCCAAGACAAATAGCCATCGGTTAGGCAACAGCTACGTCTTATGATCGCGCCCATTTAGTTATCCATCTTGATGTTTGTACCGCAAATATTTTTTGTAGTTTCTAACTATATTAACCATGTAAACCTAGTTAACTTTCTTAATTTTGTATGAAAAATCGGTTTATTTACGAGGTTTACGTAGGTACGAGGCATATACTCGTTTTCACGTATACCCACATTGTAATTGAGAATTCTTAAAAATAAGTAAATTAACATAACAGGCAAACAATATCATTTTGAAGTTGGTTACAAATGATATGTCCGATACTGTACATACCCATGCGGTCAGCTGATTAATTTTAGTGAAATTTTTTTGTTCAGAATTTTTAGAAAAATTTTAGTATGCAGTATTGTAGAAAATTAAAATTTAGTAGGTTAAAGTGCAAATTTCAAGACGCTATAAAATCGCGTTAATTTTTAATATTTTTTTGTTGACGATGCTAGGCATTTTCTTCCATACAAAAGTAATTGTAGAGCATATAGATTATTAAAAATCAACACGATTTTCTAGCGTCATGAAATTTGCACTTTAACCTACTAAAATTTAATGGTTTTTTTTTAAGATTTTTAATAAAAAGTTTAAAATTTTTGGGTGTAATTGTTAAAGTTTGTTGAGTTTTTATAATTTTTGTACGAAGTTTTAAATGCACATTTATGTTGTGCTGGTTATGTAATGTGCCAGACTTTTATAAAGAAAATATAAACATTAAACAAACAAAAGGGAAATACCAAAAACCGGTCAAAATGTAATTGATTTAATCAGCTGATCATAAGTGTACATATAGCTGCGGTCAAAATAATAGCAGCAAAATTCAAAATGATGCAGTTGGCTACTTATATCTATTTATTTATTGTTAACGATTTTCATTTAAAATATGGACGCCAAATATCAGACACCACATAAATATAAATAAAAGTTTCACAACTTGCACAAGTTCACTAAAACTAATTAAAGTGCAAGTTTCAAGTCGCTAAAAATTACCCTTGATTTTTTTAGAATTTTCTTTTGTCGAGGGGGTCGCGTGTTTTCTTCCATATAAAAGTAAGTTTTGTTCATGGGTTACTAAAATAGAATGGGCTATATATAAACTGCATACTCGAAATCTTTCAGCAGCTGTCAAAATAAACGGAGTAAAATTCAAAATGATGTTGTTTGCAACTCGGGTTTATTTATTCATTTTTAATAATTTTCATTTAAAATATAGTTCGATCTATAACAGAAACCACAGAAATAAAAATTTCCTCAAAATCTCAAACTTTTTATTTAGAATTTTTAGAAATTTTTGGAGTCAGCAGTTTTTTAGCCCAGTCAGTAAAAACTACCGTTAATTTGTTAGAATTTTTTTTGGCGAGGGTGTTGCTCCGTTTCTTCCATATAACAATAGATTTTGTTCATACATACGTTACATGGAAGAAAATTCTGAACATCCTCGATAAAAAAAATCTAAAAAATCAACGGTAATGTTTAGACTTAAAATTTGCACTTTATTGTACTAAAATTGAAAAACCTACAAAACTGCATACCCGAAAA